TGGACTTCACACAACACAATTTCCGTCTGCACAATATATATTTTTTTTATTTAGCATAACGACTCTAAAATATTTTCCGTTGTCCGTCTTCCACCACATCACTGCAATTTTATTCCAATAAAACTGATATGGTGACAGCTGAAACCCAGTTTAAGAAGAAACAACACCTCGTCGAAATTTAGTTCTGGGACAATAGAAATAATAAGAATTTTTCACTGCATTTACTAATAAAAATCGGGGAATCTCACAGATCAAATTCTACACAAATAAGCATTTGTATTGTGGAATTGCGAATCTATTTATTGAGGGTCACAAAGAGAAACCTAAGTAAGGTAGGCCTGCGGTAAGACCATCATAAATATTTACCAATGTTAAATGCTGAATTATGTCATTTTAGCTCGACAGTTTGTCCAAAATGTACAGAAAATAACTGAAGTAAAAGTTACATGCTCTTATATACTATAAGAAGTCTCGGTGATTTGTGTCAGACACTTGTGAAAAATCACCATTACGTATTAAAATATTCATGATAACACACTATTTTTATCAAAAAAGTGCGTGAAACGTTAATAGAACATTTTGATGTTTTACTGTGATTGGCATAGCTTTTATACAATAAAAATTAATCATTTTCATCAGCGATAATATTTAAGGTCTAGTGTTTTTTTGAACTGTCGAAAACAATGATAAATGATCAAGTATCTGCAGGTGCCTTCAAGTGAAATAGCACTGGAAATAAATATTTAATATAGAGAAAATATGATTGCAGTTTCAATCAGATTTTCCTTTACCTATATTGAATCTTAATTATTTTCAACACTGCCTCTATTAAACATTTTTGACTGGTGAAGGACTTGCATGGTAAATGAAGCTTCAAGAAAGTTACTTTAGAGATTGAGATTGATTAAAGAGTACTTAAAATTTAGCAACCAATTACCATATTTAATGCTCCAAAACTTCGCCTTTTCACACGCGGGGTGTGTTGGGTATAGTTGTTAGGACGGACGAGCGGCATGCCGTTCCAGATACGCAAGAACGAACGGCAATACGGTGTACACGGAAGAGCCGAATGTTGAAATAGGTGGTTAATTAGAACAGTGCTTTGCTTTGTTAAATTTTTCGTCATTTGTTGTGTTTGAGTTCTCCAAACAATATACCGTTTTTATGACATAATCCGGTATTTAACTTTGGTAAATTTTTCGGTACTTCGTGCATACAAATGCTGAAAGCTGTCGGATTTGGGTAGCGTTTTATTTACAACAGTCGGCATGGCTCAGTTCTTTTTTCTTCCGCTTTACAACAGTCGGGTCTTAAACTCTTAAAACTTAAACAATTAAAAAATACAAAAATTTCTTCCTTTTTTAATTGTTTTAATACAGTGTTTAATGCTATTTGTTGCGCTTGTGCTTATCACAAATAATTTTCAAAACAAGGAGAACTTCAATCCAATAATACTGCGGTATGTTTTTACGAGTTTTAGTATTTCGGACCAGTAGGTCGATTCCATGTAAAAGTTGATGGTGCTGATAGGTAGAAGATACACGGAGAATATGTGATTTATCTCCTTTACTTTCTATTGCTTTAATTATGAGGAGTTTCTAAAGAGAAGGATAACCCACTTTGCAAAGGCATTGTAAGTTATGTTCTTCCAAAGCCGCTATGGAGTTTTTTTTTTGATGAGATGGACTGAATGTAACAAGGCCTCAAGTTTCGCGTCAATAATTCTTGCCTGGATATAGATACCACTCTTGAGGTCAAGCCCGGTCCAAGGGCTAAAGAAATGACAATTTGGAATAAAATTTTCTACAAATAGGGTCAGCAACCATTTTCTGGCTTCTTATTTTGATGTGCATCCTGAAAAATAAAAGATTTATAAAACAAATTGAATTTTTATTTTTCTACTCGAGGTACATAACTGTTCAATTTGAAATTATCTTGACCAAAATTTACAGAACTTAATCTGGAGTAAGCTGCTTATTAATTTGGAACTTAAACAAAAGAACAAGGAAATTGATGAACATTTATGAAGAAAAATATTAAAAGAGAAAGCTAAATTGTCATATAAACCGTCCAGTCTGGTCAGAAAGACGTTTTCAGGGAAAAAGTGTTACAATATATCTTTAGATAGTACTAAATCGTGCTATTCATAAAAAATAACATCTCTTAATGCCTAGTAATTATAGGCATCTTTAATGAGTCAAATCGCTCAAACAAACAACAAAACCACAACAAACAACAAAAGGAAATGAGAGACACCATGAAAATGAGTGGCAGTCAATCTGTCACCTGTTTTCAAGGCCTTTTAAGTACGCCAAAGAAATCGAGAAACGAATGTTGATTGATAATAGACAATCAACAAGTTGATGAAATGTTTGCCTTCTTCTGGTATAGACTCTTGAGCCATGAATGCCCAGTAACTTTATAATTTCTTGTGTTACAATTTTTTTCGAATTTTGGGCTAACAACTAGTATTAAAGAAAAAAGATTGCAGTCATTGAGATAGTCAGTTTGCATAAAATGCTTAATATATCCAGCAAAAAACAAAGAACGAATTTGTCTATCAGTTGCATATGAGCCTTGAGCTTGTCAGCACTCGCCCTGCACAATATACATAATCCACGATAAAAAAGGGATGAGCGGTCCAATTTGAATTTATAACTGATATTGCGCTTAGAGCTGAGTTAGAAAATAAATTGGAAAAACTTAGAAATTAATTGTGAAGAATATTTGCAGAACAGTTCAAAAATTAAAATTAAAATGATGACAGTAATCAGTGAAGACACGATGACACGACATTTCGCAATTTAAAACGATACCTCATTTATCTTGATTAATTTTTATTCGATTTGGAATAACAAAAACATAATTGAAGAGTGCATGTGTTTTTGCGAACAAAGTCTCATACAAGTTTTTCTTTTGTAAATAAATTGATTTAAATATCAAAATTTTCGTTACCCTAAATTTCAGCAACAAAGTCACTTGCTCGTATTGAAGATCATAAAAACCAACCTATTTTAAATTATTAAACAAAAGCACAGAACATTTAGATTCACGTAAGTAAAAAGATACGTACAAAAGTTATTTATTCGGTAGAAAATCGTTTCAGGCCATTTAAGTTTTCTACAATCAGTACTAATACACTTCGCAAAGTTGATCGATTCATTGCTGAATAATATATTATATTATTATCCACCTAGTTGCATGCTAATTTGAATAATTGTTCGACCACGTGTTGTTATTCAATTGTTATGAATTAGAAAGAGCAAAGAATATTAGACCAAGAAAAAATTATTCATTAATTAAATGTTAAAGTTAAAATGTACTTGATGTCTTACATAGATTATGAGGTGTATGAATACTTGGGGCTCACAATTTTATTTCGGATATAAAATATAAATTAGTCTAAGGTCATGAGGAAATAAATTCAGTCCGACATTGCGGCAAATTAAACAAAACTGTATTTTCACTTATTAACACTGCACCTAGAACAACATCGTCTAAGCTTGGTATAAGGAAAAAGAGTAAGCGGTACGGCTTTTCGCGTTACCCGTGTCTTTTACGTGGTCAAGCGTCGTGACCTACTTTTAACCTTTCGTCAGTACGTATCAAAAACTAGTCCCGAACTCCAGGAACCACCGCAAAGCGGCTTCCTTATGATTTCGACTCACGTCCGTTAAAAAAAATAATGTAAACATGGCCTACTATAATTGCAGGCAGAAATAACCATCAAAGAAATACTGCGCTGGCGAAAACTAAAGTTAAGGATATGATTCACTAAAATTTTTCACCCTTGGCTTCACAAATCCGACACACGTTGATGTTGATACAGCCCTTCAGTGGGAGTAGCGCTCATTCGGCTTGAGCATGGTTACTTCATATGGGCCCGACTCTATACGCACTTGGTTTCCCCCTTCGTAAATTACTGTTTCCGGTTTTCTTCTTGAACTTTTAATATCTGTTTTTACAATTATCCCTTAATTCGTCGCTGTCTCTGTTAAACGCTTCGAATGCTTCTTTTTTTAGCATTTCCTTAACTATTACATCTTTCTGATTTTCCATCTTAACACCTTTCAACACTTCAAAATGCTTAGTCAATATGCTGCGTTGCAAAGTAGAATTTAAAGCTCTTTGAGTTCTATCACTTCGGTAGTTATAGTAACATACTCGATTCCTTCGTCGTTGCAATATTCTTGGAACTCCTTTGAGGTAAAGGCGGTCCCTTTGTCCGAAATAATCCTAGCTGGATTAGCAAACGTACTCTGCTGAAAGTTCAGTTTTTCAATTATTTCCTGCGATGTCGTGAACTTGCTATATAACCATGCAAACTTAGAAAAGTCGTCTATTACAGACAAAATGTGCTGATAGTTATTGTTAGTAGAAGGTAAAGATCCTAAATGATCTATATGATACGTGCTAAGTGGACCTTCACCCTTAGTTATAGGGTGTAACAATCTTTCCTTTTTATCCTCTTTGCTATTTCTTAATATGCACGTCACATAACTCTTAATACAAGTATCGACCTTTTCCGTTTGGAATGAAGACTTCTCTTTTTATAACTTCTCCCTTCTTGGAGACAGCGAAATATCCAATTTCCATGTAATTTCTCTAGTATTTCGGTTTGCATCGCTTTAGAAACCAGTACTAATTCTAAACCACCGTCATACTTATATAAAATGTCATTTTTTAGTACATAATTTTGGTAGTATTTGGTAGATATTCTCAAGAATTTAAAATAGATGGTATCTATACATCCTTTCGCAAGGTGACACTTTATTGTAGAAGGTGCTAAATACAAGTAAATTATTAGCACTCTGTATTTCAATTTTTTTTCTTAATAATACTTCAGGAAGATAAAACGATAGTATTTTTCAGCATTAAATTTCACAATTATTGACCGAGATATTTAACTGATATTAAACAGATAAGTACTAATCATTTTCAAGAGTTGAAATTTTGAATAAATAAAGCCGACTGTAGTCGATGCTACGAGTAGCAAAAAAGTTACCATGCACATCATACTTCTAATCGGCCTATTATTCATATCAATTGTGGTGAGTAATTTATAGTAATAGTAATTATATCAGAAATATTTGAAATATTTTAATATAACAATTGTATTTACATTAATGAATAGAGATGCTCATATTAATTAAGATCTCCTGTGATAAGAATAAGAATGATAATAATAGTAATATATTCAATTACATTAGTATTAGTCAAACATACTATTTCTAAAACTAGAAAGAAAATTACATACAGATTACACAAAAAAAGCAGGCATATACATGGTTGCTTGTAATGTATATGCCGCGGTGACTTTACTATCGAATTATCACTTTTTTATACTTCAATGCCAAAAGACAAAGACTAAAGAAACTTTTATAATAATAGTTTTTGGGCTCGAGCGGAAAACATGTAATGAAAATGAAATTAAGTTTTCAAAGAAACTTCCACAGACTACTGTAATACTTTTTATAAAACTTCTGGATTCCTCCTGAGTCAGTTTTTGTTGAGTCGAACTAGCTAACATTTCGCCAATCTGAAACAGTTTCAGTCAAGCTCTGAAGAAGCCAACAGGATGATCGGCGGCATCTTCAATGCTCGCGCAACAAGCGAACGGATAATATCCCGGAATATATATATATATATATATATATATATATATATATATATATATATATATATATATATATATATATATATATATATATATATATATATATATATATATATATATATTCTCACGTATTGATTCACGGATGGAAAAATGTGATGACACTATATTCCGGGATATCATCCGTTCGCTCGTTGAACTCCGACTGGAATCCTGCATCCGACTGGAATCCTGCAGACGTTTCGCCAAAATCTCACTTGGCATCTTCAATGCTCGCGCTCCGAAAACACTTCGAACGACTGTCCAGTCGGAGTTCAACGACCGAACGGTTGATATCGCGGAATATAGTGTCATCATATATATATATATATATATATATATATATATATATATATATATATATATATATATATATATATATATATATAATTATTCTAGAGTTCGGACATTTTGGTCGATCTTCCGGACGGCACAATTCGCGGGACTGAAACCAATGTTGGGAACAGCACAATGTACGCTTATCTGGGCATCCCGTTTGCAGCCCCTCCGCTAGGAAAATTGAGGTTCCAGGTAAACCATTTGAGGAAAATCTTAATTATTTGAAAGTTATATCTTCTGATTCGTTGCAGGCTCCAGTGCAAAATGATCCGTGGGACGGAATTCTTGATGCCACGAAATCCAGAAGTTGTTGCTTACCGATGGGCCTTGTATTCCAAAGTAGTACTCAAAATGAGGATTGTTTATACCTCAATATCTACACGCCTCCGCGAAACGTAAGTATAGTTGCCAGTTATGGGGTCCTGGGATCTTCTATGAGATAAAACAGGGCAGCTGTGAACAATTGACTCTGAGATTTTTGACTTGTTGATGGAGAATGGACCTAGTGGCTGAATTAGAGGCAACCGAGGCCTATAAGTCAAGATTTGCTTTGTTAAATGTAACGTGTGAAGAGTATTGCTCCAGATTGGTTACAACTGCTTCGGAAGATGCACAATCTTATGGATCAGGGGGTAATGACTCAGCTGGTATGAGAGGTAAGCGCAAATTTACCTTACCTACTACAGAGGTTAAAAAAATTGACGGCAATGTGAAAGACTGGCTGCCCTTCTGATCCCAATTCCGGCTTAAATGATGAAGTCGAATATTTGATACAAGCTACCGTAGCAGGCAGTGGGGCTAGACGGGTGATAGAAAGTCTTCCGTTTGTAGGAGATAATTATAGCAAGGTTGTGATCTCTTTAATGTCGCGATTCGGTCGTGAAGACTTGCAAATCGAGGTTTATGTTCACGGTTTGCTGAAGTTGGTTTAAGATAACGCAGTAATTTGTAATGATATTTCTCCCGTTTTTCATGGCGTCTGGACTTAAGAACTGGAGAACTTGGATATCCGCATTGCTGATTGTGACGAATTTGGCCCCATTAAGCTGCTGTTAGGGGCAGATATGGCGGGTAAAATATACACTGGAAGAAGACACCTTCTAGCATGCGGGTTGGTTTCAATTGAGACGATATTAGGCTGGATCTTAATGGGCAGATTGCCACTCTATTCTTCAGTCAGTATGACAATGACAATTGGTAAATGACGCATCTCTTACTCAGTTGTGGAAACTCGATGTTTTGGGTATCACAGAGCCCAGCGAGCAAAAATCAAAAGCTGAGTTAGCTCTGGCGGCAAGATATTTTTTCCTCAACACAGTAGAGGTAGACAAGGTTATAAGGCCAGGCTGCCATGGGTGGAGGGTCATCCCACATTCACATAAAAGACTGGATAATGTGCTCAAGAAATTGATGTCTGAAGGGATTCTCGAAGAGTGCAGTGAAGTATTCAAAGAGTGGTTAGCCGAGAAGATTATCGAAGAAGGAACACTACTTGCCTCACAGACCCGTAATAAAACAAGGCAACGCAACCACCAAGATACGACCTGTTTGTGACGCTTCAGCCAAAGGGAAGGAACTTGGAACCAATGCCTTGAGAAGGGGGTGAAATTAATTGAGCTAATTCCGGACATCTTATTCAGGTTCAGACAGTGTCGAATCGGGGTGACAGCAGGCATTCGTAAAGCTTTTTTACAAATAAGTGTTCACCAAGATGATAGAGACTACCTTCGCTTCTTATGGGTCGATTCAGAGAGCCGCGAAAAGATTTACAGACAAAGGCAAGTTATTTTTGGCGTTAACAGTAGTCCTTTTGTGTTAGGGGCTACCATATCTTATCATGTATCTCTGTGTTTGTAAAGATGCGAGGGAAATAAAGCTAGGCAGAATCCCCTAAGGTTTTTCAAAGGATTTTATGTGGACAATTGTGTTTCGAGCTTGTCTGATATTTTCACCTTAAACATGTTTATCAGAGAGTCTACTAGTGCCATGGACGAAGCCCGTTTCGACTTACGGGGGTGGTAGTTCACGCATCAACCAGTTAAAGTGGACGTGTCATCAGAGTGTTCACTTATTTCTCTGCTAGGATTTTTTTTGACCATTTTCAAAGGCTATATGGAAGAGTCGGGCAAGATAGCAGATTATCCTGTCACCAAGAGATTGATGCTTTCGTTAACGCAAAAGGTCTTTGATCCTATAGCATTCACCTGTCCGACTACCATGATTCCGAAGTTATTACTGCAGAAAACCTGTTAGGAAAAGATAGGATGGGACGTCACAATGAATCAGGAGATTGAAAGTGCTTTTCGCCAATGGGCCAAAGAATTACCACACTTAGTGGATGTGAAGATTCCCTCATGGTTAAGAGCTGGCCCGGATGAAGCTAATGATTGGAGCCTGCACACTTTCTGTGATGCTAGTAAGAACGCCTATGAGGCTGTTGTGTTTCTGAGATGTACACAGGACGGTGAGATCTTTGTGAATTTACTGGCAGCAAAGAGCTGTGTGTCGCCATTGAGAGAGATTACAATTCCACGCTTAGAGTTGCTAGCAGCCTTTATTGGTTCAAGACTGTATTCCTTTGCTTCCGTTGTCCAAACCCTAGAGATGAATGTGAAAGGTAATTTTTGGGGCGATTCCTCCACTGTCACCTCGTGGATTCGTCGAAATGAATAGTGGCGTACCTTTGTGCATAATCATGTTACCGAAATTCGTCTTTTAACGTCCTGGGAAGATTGGCGTTATGTTCCCGGAGTTTTGGTTGGTGGGTGTTCAGCCAAGTACTTAGAGTGATCTAAATGGTGGCAGGGGCCAAGTTGGCTTTACTTCGATCCAGATCTCTGGCCTCAGGAGGATAGAAGCTGCAATGAGCTGGATATAGCCCAAGAACAGAAGAAGAAAGTAGTTTTTTCTATGCTCAATTTCGATTCAACCATCACATCCAGTGAGTGGGACCTGAACTATTTTTCGAAGTACGCGAAAACTATGCGAATGGTAGCATGGATTCTTCGATTTACGCATAATCTTCGAAGCCCGTTAAAGCGTTTAGGAAAGTTGATGCCTGAGGAAATCAGTGACGCCGAAAAGTTTTTCTTAAAGTTGATCCAAAGATCCAAGAGTTTTCTTGCGAAAATGACAAGCGGCTGCGTTGTCTCAGTCCTTTCAAGGATGAATTTATCGTAATCCGCGTGAAGACGCATGTAAGCCGACGGGACGATACTGAACACTTTCGTTTTCCGGTAGTGTTGTGAGCAAACAACCTTTTGGTAATTAGGGTCATTTTTGATATGCATGTCAAGTCATGCCATGTACGAACACAAGGGCTCATGGGAATACTGCGTGAATAGTATTTGGATATTGGGCGGTCGTAGGTCAATCAAATCCGCGATATCGAAGTGCGTTGTGTGTAAAAGACATGGCCTTTCGATACGAACATGCCTCCGCTACCCGTCGATCGTGTGCGAAAAGCAGCCGCGTTCGAGATTACCGGGGTAAATTTCGAAGGACCTTTGTATTTGCGGAACGGGCAAAAGGCTTGGGTTTGTCTGTTCACTTGTGCCGTGTTTCGTGCTGTTCATTTTAAACTTTGTACGTCTTTGTCGACGGCCAGTTATTTGCAAGATCTACGACGGTTTTTCGCAAGAATGGGCCGACCGCGGACCATGTACTGATTGGACTGGAGCAGTATAACAGCCACTACTTCGGTAGAATGTAACAAGTGGCGTTTTAATCCACTTACCGCATCGTGGTGGGGCGGATTTTGGGAGAGACTTGGGGGGTTCTCAAGCAACTATTGCGAAAAATGCTAGGCCGAGCGTCCCTAGATTATGAAAAACTAATCACAGTGCTATGTGCTCGGTGATCAAATCCAGACCATTAACGTATATGTCGAGTGATACTGGTGAATTGTTACCTTTGACTCTATGTTTGTGGTGTTTCTCCGAGAACCTCGGATGGGGTTCCTGACTGTTACCTGGTCGATCAACAGTTCCTTTCCAAAAGGGCATTGCATTTGGCGAGAGGCCTTACGCCGACAATTTCGAAGCGAATACTTGGGACAGCTAAAATTGTTTGGAAGTAAGGACTTAAAGCGTCATGTTGCACCGAACGAAGCCGTGCTCATTTCTGACGACTTTACTAAGCGAATGGCTTGCCCAATTGCTCGAGTGATAGAGTTGGTTCCTGGCAAAGATGGGCAAGTCCGGCTAGTGAAGGTAGATACTGAGAAGGGGCAATTAATGCGACCAATTCAGCGCCTTGTCAGTCTAGAGGGGACGGGACCGGAGAAGGCAAAGCATCCGGAAGAGGTCTGCAAAACATTGAATTATGGAACAGTGGCCGAAGTTAAGAACTTCGATCGAATTGAACCAACAGTATCAGTGCGTAAAGTAGATCGGGAAGGTGCGGGAAAAGAATCGGGAGCGAAAAAAGACGGAGTATCCGACACACTAGTTATTGCGATGACGTGAAGCGGGAGAGTAACACAAATCCCCAAACGATTTTTATAGTTAAGAGTTCTTAAGCCTTACATGGCTGATTTTGTTAAGTTAAGGCCTTATGTTTTAGTTCGAGACCGAATGTTTAGGACGGGTTTCGGGTAGGAGGATGTCGCAAACATTGCCTTATATTTTCGTCAATGTTAGAATTAGTTTAAAAGCTGCCAACAGCGCGGTTTGGCTGTGTAGTCAAGGAGATGAATGCGTAAAAAATATTAATAATAAATAAAGTGTTATGTGAAAAGCGTCGTTTCGTATCCTTACATCTTTTCAGTACCGAGAATAACCGTAGCCGAATCGAAGTATATTTACGTTAAACGGGTAGTTTATCGCGGGTATACGCAACAAATAGTAATAATTTCGATGTTATTCATCAACAAATTTTGTTTAACAGATTACAGAGAAACTGCCGGTAATGTTCTGGATATATGGAGGGGGATTTGTAATGGGCTGCGCCACGGACTCTGAATTTAACCCAATTCACCTCGTAAACGAAGACGTCATTGTTGTTACATCTAATTACCGCCTCGGTCTGTTCGGTTTCTTAAGTACCAATGATAGCGTAATTTTGGGTAACGCAGGACTCAAGGATCAACTATTAGCGTTGAAGTGGACCCAGCAAAACATTGCACTTTTTGGTGGCGATCCGGACAAGGTGACAATATTCGGCGAAAGCGCAGGTGGCGTGTCCGTTGGAGCACATATCGCAAACAAAAAATCGGCTGGATTATATAGAGCAGCGATTTGCCAAAGCGGTTGTTCGTTAGCGAGTTTCCCAGATTCATACCAATCCGATCCTAAGCAAGTTGCATACGATATTGCTAAAAGTCTAAACTCTTCTATATCTCAGGACAGCGAAGAGATCAGAGATTTCCTGCAGAGTCAGTCTGTCACTGTTTTGGCTTTGGCTTTCTTCGCAAACCCTCAGGTAAGTGAAATGCACTGACTTAGCTTGCATATAAGTACCGTATGCTTTTAAAGACGGGACTAGTAACAGAAGTTGAAGACGAGAATGCATATAACACGGAACTTCATTTCGGGTCGATCGAATCGGGAAATTTCAACCAAGTGCCTGTCATAATAGGAACGAATTCCGCAGAAACGATTATATTGGCATGTACGCAACTGTAAAATATTCATTTTCAATTCGAGTTATTAATTTTTTTTGTTTTAGTTTCCACGCTGGAAATCGAAATGCTTGCATTTGCTTTCGACGTTTTGTCTACGTTAGTATTACCTTCAAACCTAAAGTATTTGCCGGGTACCAATTTAGTCGATGTCTCAAATTTGATCAAACAGGCGTACACCAATCAATCGTTCGCATTGGATTTGGCGTCGTTTATTGAGGTAGTTCGGAGCAATTAAAATAACTAATAAAACTTTGCTCAAGTATTTTCAAAACTTAGTTGTCTTTAATAAGCCAAAAAACTTTTATTTGTTTACAGCGTTTCCGGCACTACTAATTTTATTATGCCAAATATTGTATAAGGTGGTAAAGTCATTTTACCTATAATTAGTTCGAATCGTTTATACATGGTGAGTCAAAATGACAAATATTAATTTTTGTGAAGAAATCAGATGGAATCTCTCTCTCTTATACTTCTATGAAATACTCCAAATTTTGAAAGATTATGAACAAAATAAATATTACCTGAACATGAAAGGTCTACAGAGACGAATTAGGTATAATTCTTTAAGAGAAGCATTCGTCACATTTCAGTGCAAAATGTAATGCAGAAATAATTAGTTAAATCCAAGATTTACACGAAAATAAAATTTCCGGAATTTCGGACACAAATTTATACAGTATTTTACGCTAAGGATAGTATTAAAAATGTTATATTAATATCACTAATGATTCCTGATAAAAACACTTAAAAAGTAAGAACAAAACTGCAAAAAACAAAGAAGTTTTACGTTATTTGTTGCTTGAAATATCCCCACCGACTTAGATAGATACATGAAAAGTCTTTACAACAAATGGCGCGTCAGTAGCACAAAAGAAAAAAGAAAGATTTAAGCTGACAACTTGTGGTAAAAAAAAGATAGAATAATAGAAACATTCTATGCGTGAAAGCAATATGACAAAATATACAATAGATATACATAAATTATAAAGTGTAAAAACGATGGAATCTAAAATTTAACAGAAAACGTAAATATAGATAGGCAGATAATAAAATATATGTTGATCTAATATTCGTGTTTGGCCGAAAGGGTGTATTCTGTAATTGAGTAAAAAGCATGCTCCAGAAGAAACAGTCTAACTTCTCTGGAGAATTTAGATTGTGATAAGATGTTGAGGAAGAACATTGTACAAATTGGTGCGAAGCTTATTCCTTGCCGAGGTCGTCAGTCTGGAATAGTATGTTACGATGAGGTCTGCCTCTCTGGTGTTGTGTGCATGTCTGGCAGAATGTCTTTCAAAAGCATGTATTTTTTCATGGACGTAGGTCAGTGCACGGTAAATGAACAGACTAGGCAGTGTCATGATTTTTAGCCTCTTGAATATAGGGCGACCATGTGCCAGAGGTGTTGATACGTGAATTGTGCGTGTCGCTTTCTTTTGTATTCGGAAAGCTTTGGTTGCATGCACAGGACTGCGTATGACAGCAAAGAATGAAATAAGCCAAAATAAGCCATCTTTAGCATGATCGTCAGGGCAAAGGATTTAAGATGCCTCAGCAGGTAAAGTCTAGTGGACAATCTGTTACAAAGAAGTTCGATATGTGATTCCCATGTCAACGATCTATCCAGTGTGACGCTCAATAGATTAATTTCGACTTGATTTAGAAGGTCATACGCTGAGTTTTGCTGTGATTAAGAATAAGATTGTTGCAGTTGAACCAGGTCTCGACTTTTTTTGGGCGGACCCACTCTTCAGTCAGATGAATGGGATTCTTTCCCTTTATAAGGAGGGCAGTATCGTTGAGCGTAACATGATGGGGATGTTTAATGGGAGATCATTAATGTATATAACGAAAAGTAGGTGGCCTAGAATAGAGCCTTGCGGAACACCATACCTGACGGGAAGTTCGTCGCTCCTAGTTCCGTTGATTTCGACCAACTGAAATCTATTGTTCAGGTAAGACTTGAGCAATTCGAGTGGAGTGCCTCTCACACCATACCATTACAACTCCCGATACAGTACAGTCAAAAGTCTTAGTCAAGTCAAACAATGTCGCTCTTACCACCTCAGTGCCAGCAATACCAAGTGCCACCTCCTCGACAAAGTTCGCAAGAGCAACAGTAGTGGAGAGTCATCGTAGAGAGTCGTAGATCATAATAATAATAATAATAAACTCCGCCATGGGAGGCAATGTCCTTGATCAGGGGGCTGGGCTTCCCGTGCTGCTCACAAACTCGGATAAAGGAGGAGTGATCTACGCTGGGAAGTCAACGACATGACTTCACTGGCACCGGGTCCTACATAGACTATCTATTAAATGGAACACGAGAAAAGCAGACTAGAATTAATACTCCAACGCTCTGAATCTAGAACCAAATCCTACTGTTGAGAGCTTTACACAGTGCATTGAAGCAGCAGCGAATATTGCTATACCAAAAACAGGAGGAAAACCTTTTAAAAAAATTGCACCTTGGTGGAGTTCTAAAATAAAACAAGTCATTAAACTAAAGAAACAAGCACTTAACAGATTTAAAAATCATGCCAGAACAGACAATCTCATATATTTTAAAAGAGCCAGAGCATGAATAAGAAAAACAATTTTCAAAAATAAAAAAGATAGTTGGAATAAATACACGTCCATAACACCAAGTGAAGATGTAAGGATAATATGGAAAAAAGTGAAAGCAGTTTCAGGACTTTAGATAAGACAATTAGCTTCATTCACACAGAGGCTGGAATCATAACCCAGGATCAGACCGAAACAGTGGAGACTATGGGCACTCATTTTGAAACTGTCAGTAAAACAAGAAATTATAACCCTGATTTCTTGAAAATAAAAGCCGAACAAGAAACAGCAACGAACTTTGCTGAAAACGATTCCTGTGAATATAACATGACCTTTAAAATAGATGACCTAAATAAAGCACCTCAGCAATCCAAGCAAGGAGCTCCTGGATCTGACACTATTTCCAATGATATGTTGCAAAATTTATCAACACAGGCCAAAGAAGCATTCTTGGAGGTATAAAATAAACGTTGGAAAGAAAAGGTCTACCCCGATTCCTGGAAAGAGGCAGTAGTAGTTCCCATCCTCAAACCAAATAAAAATAAATTAGAATCTTCAAGCCTTCGACCCGTTAGCGTAACCTATTACATGGGCAAACTGCTTGAGAAAATGGTAAACGACAGACTTTAAAACTGCTTAAAGAGTAACAACTCATTAGTTCCCTACCAAGCAGGGTACAGAAAAAAACGATCAACTGTTGGTCATCTAGTATTGCTTAAGCATCACATACAAGAAGGGAGTGTCGGAAATACTGAATGCACCTCCCAAAGTCAGCTGTCGAGAGGTTTCATCTCCCCATCAGGCTTGAGAGCTGCGGCGTACCGAATGTGACTGTCAGATAGAGTAGGAAATATTTCCAGAATAAAGCTCAGAAGGACAGACAGAAAGGCGAGACCACCGAACCAGCTAATAGAAAGACGATCGAGCCGCAGTTGAAGCAGTGGAGAGGCAAGCCTTTGCACGGCAAATACTTGGCAGGCAAAGAATCAGACGGGGTTAATAGAGAGGCTTTTAGTGCTTACCTGCGTCGGGCGCCCTAAATTCTGAAACAAGGACTTCTACACGCTATTCAGGACCTGCTGATCGCCACAAAAATATACAAAACGACAATAATACATGAGGCATTTGATAACGTAAAGTGTCGGATGTGTGATGACAAGAAACTTTGATCATATCCTCGGCGGATGCTCTGTGATGGGGCCGCGGCTGTATCTCGACAAACATGACAGAGTAGGAAAGATCATCATTCATCAAAAAGTACGCCAATTGTACATGCGAGTAACAATTGAGGAGGCATACTACCATTACGTACCGGCGTCTGCCAGGCCGCGCGTGATGGAACAGATAAATAATCACCGATACCAAACAATATCCCAGGCACGGTACTTATTTAAAAAAATATGAGAAAAGTCTTCATTGTGGATTTTGCATTACCGCTATATTCAAACATAGAGAAGACCTATACAGAGAAAATCAAAAAATAATTACCTTTGGCAGAAGCGATCCGACTCATGTGGGAAATGGCGACAGTGGTCGTCCCAGTAGTGACAAGTGCCACTAAAAAGGAGCCTACAGCAGCCGGGACTGGAACGGATCCTACACAAGAATCTTCTCAAGTCGGTGCTGTTAGACACGTGCGCCATAGTTCGTAAGGTGATGCGTTTTTAAAAATATTGTTTCTGGGAAATGAGAATTTATAATTATAATGATAATAATAATAACAAGGAAAATTTTAAAAATTACCAAATTATTTTTATTTTTCCTGTCTTATTGCGATATTTTCTCATAATATGACAAATTTTCGGAGATTTGTTAAAAAAAAATGTTTATTCCTCAAAAAATACAAAGTTTTACACATAGATTACAATAGGCGTGATTAATGGAAGTAGGTATAATATATAGGCTGTATAAATGATTCGAAGTATCTTCACGACAAGTTTAGGATAAATGACTACCCCACTTTATAAATTTGTTGGCATAATTTTTCGAAAAAATGGCCAATAATCCTAAAACAGGTATAGATCACAACAATCCTAAATATAGATTTGATTTCCTATATATTTTCGAATTACCAGGGATATATATATATATATATATATATATATATATATATATATATATATATATATATATATATATATATATATATATATATATATATATATATATATATATATATATATATATATATATATATATATATATATATATATATATATATATATATATATATATATATATATATATATATATATATATATATATATATATATATATATATATATATATATATATATATATATATATATATATATATATATATATGATGACACTATATTCCGGGATATCATCCGTCCGCTCGTGGAACTCCGACTGGAATCCTGCATCCGACTGGAATCCTGCAAATCCTGCATCCGACTGGAATCCTGCAGACGTTTCGCCAAAATCTCACTTGGCATCTTCAATGCTCGCGCTCCGAAAACACTTCGAACACTGGGAGGTTATCGGCGGTGCGTGCGGTATTTATACTCTGCGCCGGAGATGGTAACGGTGCTGCTTGTGCGTGGGGGGAGGTGGCTCCGCCCCCTGAATTGTCGCGTTGTTAATTTCGCCCGATCGTAGTTGCGATGTCCCCGTTGGCTGCTGCGCATCGCTCTGCTGTTTGATTATCGTTCTCCACGTGTTGGATAAATGCAGAGCGTCGTCTCTCGTATTGAGGTGTCCGGACTTTTCTATTTCGATGGCCTCTCGTATAATCCTAGTCCTAAAATCAGGAATATTAGCTATTTGTTTGCAAGTGCCGAAATCAATTTTATGGCCTGTCTGATGTTGGTGCTGAAACAAAGCAGATGTTGTTTGTTTGTTTCTTATGGCTAAACGATGTTCCTCGAGCCTGGCTGAAATCCTTCTGTTGGTCTGTCCCACATACGTCAGGCTGCACGATCCGCATGCTACACTGTATACTCCTTGGTTTTCAAGAGTAATTTTTTGTTTTGGGTTTCTTAGTATTGCTCCGATGGTATGGTCAGGTTTGTATGCCGTTGATATGTCGTGTTTCCGTAATATTCGGCCGATTTTGTCAGTAACCCCCTTGATGTATGGCAGGACAGCGATCGATCTTCGTTGGGTCTCGTCCTGCACTCTTTGCTGCGGCTGTTGTTGTTTACTGATTGCCTTGCTGATGGTGCGCCTTTGGTATCCGTTTTGTCGAAGACAGGTACTAATTTTCTTCAGTTCTTTATCTCTGTTCCTCTCGTTTGTGAGCCTGAAGGACCGAGCAATTAATGTATTTGCCACTGCCTGTATCTGTGATGGGTGGTGATGAGATTTAGCGTTCAGATATCTATCAGTGTGGGTTGGTTTTCTATAGACAGTGTGTTCCAAGTGTCCATCTTCGGTCCTTGTGATGTGCACATCTAAAAAGGGCAGACTGTTATCCTCTTCAAGTTCTATTGTAAATTGAATCCTTGGGTGAATGGAATTCAGATGGTCTAGGAATTTCAAAAGCTCCTCCTTGCCAAAAGGCCATACAACAAATACGTCATCAACGTATCTTGTTCATAGTTTTGGCTTCAGATTTGCCTTCTCTATTGCTTTCTTTTCGAAGTAAATCATGAAGAGGTTGGCAATCACAGGTGAGAGAGATGATCCCATTGCTGCTCCATCTATTTGTCGGTAAATTTTCCCGTTGTGCATAAAGTAAGCGTTTTTCAGGCAATGTCTTGACAGATCCATTATGTATGGCGGAAGATCATCTCTCTCACCAGTGATTGCCAACCTCTTCATGATTTACTTCGAAAAGAAAGCAATAGAGAAGGCATATCTGAAGCCAAAACTATGGACAAGATACGTTGATGACGTATTTGTTGTATGGCCTTTTGGCAAGGAGGAGCTTTTGAAATTCCTAGACCATCTGAATTCCATTCACCCAAGGATTCAATTTACAATAGAACTTGAAGAGGATAACAGTCTGCCCTTTTTAGATGTGCACATCACAAGGACCGAAGATGGACACTTGGAACACACTGTCTATAGAAAACCAACCCACACTGATAGATATCTGAACGCTAAATCTCATCACCACCCATCACAGATACAGGCAGTGGCAAATACATTAATTGCTCGGTCCTTCAGGCTCACAAACGAGAGGAACAGAGATAAAGAACTGAAGAAAATTAGTACCTGTCTTCGACAAAACGGATACCAAAGGCGCACCATCAGCAAGGCAATCAGTAAACAACAACAGCCGCAGCAGAGAGTGCAGGACGAGACCCAACGAAGATCGATCGCTGTCCTGCCATACATCAAGGGGGTTACTGACAAAATCGGCCGAATATTTCGGAAACACGACATATCAACGGCATACAAACCTGACCATACCATCGGAGCAATACTAAGAAACCCAAAACAAAAAATTACTCTGGAAAACCAAGGAGTATACAGTGTAGCATGCGGATCGTGCAGCCTGACGTATGTGGGACAGACCAACAGAAGGATTTCAGCCAGGCTCGAGGAACATCGTTTAGCCATAAGAAACAAACAAACAACATCTGCTTTGTTTCAGCACCAACATCAGACAGGCCATAAAATTGATTTCGGCACTTGCAAACAAATAGCTAATATTCCTGATTTTAGGACTAGGATTATACGAGAGGCCATCGAAATAGAAAAGTCCGGACACCTCAATACGAGAGACGACGCTCTGCATTTATCCAACACGTGGAGAACGATAATCAAACAGCAGAGCGATGCGCAGCAGCCAACGGGGACATCGCAACTACGATCGGGCGAAATTAACAACGCGACAATTCAGGGGGCGGAGCCACCTCCCCCCACGCACAAGCAGCACCGTTACCATCTCCGGCGCAGAGTATAAATACCGCACGCACCGCCGATAACCTCCCAGTGTTCGAAGTGTTTTCGGAGCGCGAGCATTGAAGATGCCAAGTGAGATTTTGGCGAAACGTCTGCAGGATTCCAGTCGGATGCAGGATTTGCAGGATTCCAGTCGGATGCAGGATTCCAGTCGGAGTTCAACGAGCGAACGGATGATATCCCGGAATATAGTGTCATCATATTTTTCCATCCGTGAATCAATACGTAAAAATATATATATATATATATATATATATATATATATATATATATATATATATATATATATATAATATATATATATATATATATATATATATATATATATATATATATATATATATATATATATATATATATATAATATATAT